AAAAGAATAGTAAGTGTTCAGTTATACCTATTCTAGTTGTCATTGTTATTGCTGTCCTTACTACTGTTATTGTTAGCACTTGCTAACGTGTACCGAGATTCAGTTTAGCTCTTGTGGAACCTAAGTCACATTCTCGCTCCAGGCAAGGTGAGCAGTTGCTGCCAGTGGGTGGCATCTGCAGTCTGGCATCTCAGAGTGCTTTTCAGCGTGTGGATGCCCTGAACCAGCCCTTTCTCTGCTTCACTCCCGTGTCTCTGCAGTGTGGCCTCTGCGCCAGAGGCCAATCACCCAGCTGCTTTTCCCTCCAGCTTCAGAAAGGAAGGTGATAGGAGAATGAAAACGGGAGACCAGCCCTGGCTTTCAGCACAGCGCCTGACCGAGCACAGGTGCTCCTTAGGGGCTTGGGGAGCTGCAGGGCCCCGCAGGGCTGAATCAGTTGCTCCTGACTCCTAGAAACCACAGAGGCATCTTCTTGCAACACGTCTGGGGCTGTCTTGAGCCCCCTGCCTTTTCTCTCAAAGAAAGTTGATTCTTTCACACACGGGGCGTCCAGGGTCCAGGGAGAGAAAGGATTTTTCCAGACTTATGTAGCTGGGCGGCGGTAACGACTAGAAATAGGCACCATGTCTCATGATTCAGTTCTCACGACAGATACAGAAATTAAGTGACTTCTTCAGTGTCACACAACTAGGGCCAGAAAACAAGGCTTCCTGTGTCCCTCAACAGCCAACAAGCCAAGCAGCTATCTACCGTGGGAAAGTCTTCCACTAGTTCCCCGAGGAAGGCCTAGCTGTCTCTGTTCTCCGTGGGCCACCCTCGGTGGCCTCTCTGCACCCCCTGTGTGAATTCTCCAGGAGCCCTTCCTACCCATCTGAGGCAGTGTGCTAAGTAGAACGTTTGACCTGGGTTTGATTCTTGCCTAGGTCGCAGGTGTAGCCTCCAGCAGCTCCTCTGAGCCTCAGATTCCTCTGCAGAAACCAGATGATACATTTGGTGCACCCAGCCCAGGGCCGGAAGATCCCAGGTGCTCAGTAAACAGCAGCAATTAGCGCTCTTAGGATTTCCTCTCTGCCGTGTGAACTGGACCAAAAGTTTCCCAGGCTTTAATTGGTTCCTCTCCCAGCCTGAGATTAATAGCGCTCCAGTCGAGTGGCCACATCTCCACGTCCTCCCAAAATAAATGGTCACCCACAGTGGCGGCGTGTGGAATTAGAATGTTAGCCGGGTGCACCTCCCCATAATGGAGCTCATTTTTTATACAACTGGGAACTTTTTTAATAAAGAAAGATGTAAAGTAATCTCATTGCCGCCACTGCCGTGCACAGGAAGCATTAGGCGGTTCCCTAGTGAGCTGCTTAATTCAATTTTATTAATTTTGCTGCAGAGGTGTGGCTCCCCTTCACGAGGGGCCCTCAAGGGGATGAGGGGGGAAGCTGGCCAAGTGGCACCACCTTGGAGGCAGTCACAGGGCACCTTCCCAAAGATGCTTTAAAAGGGCTCCCATCATTGTTGGCAGTGCAGACCCTGCCTCTTCTTTGCTCTCTCTGCAAAGGAACACAGCTTCAGCCTCCAACACCTCTGATATTTCATGGGAATTGTCTGCCACACTGTTTTTGCTTCTGCAATTGTGTTTGATTACCCCTGGGAAGGCAACCTTATTATAACCAAGCCATTCACAGCTAAAGTCGTCTCAGCACCATCATTATAAATCCTTATTTTCAAGGCTTTGGAATTTGTTTGGGGAGAAGGGAGACACACATGTCTCTACTTCCTCTGAGAATGACCGTGATCATTTACTGTCATTTAATGGAAATAACTACAACCATTACCTCAGTACCTTCTGTGGAGCCCTTCACTAGGTAATTTACTGAGGTTTCTTCAGTCCTCATAACAGCACTGTTATTGTTATACAGGGAAAGAAATCAAGACTCAGAGAGGGAAAGGCATTGGCCCAAGGTCACACAGAAAAGTCTGTCACAGAGTCGAGGCTGGACTCCTGGGCTTGTTTCTGAGACCTAAGCCCTTTTTTTTATTTACCACACAGAGCCCGAGAGGGCCTTTCATTACCTTAATCTACATATCTGGTTTTGTATCATGTGACCTGCATTGTCTGCTTCCCTCTTGGGTCTTCCTACCTCCTTGTCAAACTGAACCAGGAACTAATGGAAGAGTCAGAAAAGGGGCCCACATGCCCCATCAGGCCAGGCACCAATTAGAGGGAACTAGCATTTTAGCTTCAGAGTACCTGGCAGTCTTTCAGGGACAACCGGGTCTAAAGGGTACATCCAAATACAGAAACAAGCCTCTGAAGTGTATTTCTTTATTAAAATACAAAAAAACATGACTTATTGCTACCCCTGTGGGAACCCTGTATTTCTGACTCTGAAAGGAAGTTGAATTGTATGCCCAGGCAGAGATCACACAAAGGGCTCAGGATCCCAGAGGCAGGAGCAAAATGTTCCAAAACCTAGGGAAGTGTCCCCAGATGACCCACAGCCAAATCAGCCATCCTAGACTCAAACATGTACTGCCTCCCAGGGCCTCTAAGAGGAAGATGCCTTAGGAGCTGACTGAGGTGACAAAGAAGCCCTCACTGTGGTAGCAGAGGGCAAGAGAGACCTCAGAAGGGCTAGGAAGTCCAAAGCCCCAAGAAGGGTCGGACTCGCTCAGAGGACCACAGAGCATAGGTTGGCACATTGCAGTGGTGAGGGTCAAATCCAGACTCACCAACCACAAGACCTGGACCTTGTCCCTGACTCTGGTCTCCCCAGTGTCAAGGAGGACCACAATGCCTGGCACGTAATAAATGGGTCAGACACGATTTGCTGGGCCCATGTGCACTCTCCCTTTTCAGAAGGGAGTCAAGAAGGATCTGCCTTTCTGTCTTCTTTAGGAGAACCACATCAGGACATGATGTGGATGGTCTCCAGTAATAGCTACTAGTTGCCCCGCATCTGCACTGTCTTTACCCTCACAACAGCCCTGTGTAATTGGCACTATTATTCCCATTTTACAGATGAGGAAACTTCACAGAGCTGACACATGACAGAGCTAGGCCCCAAACCCTTGTCTTTCGCCACCCATGACCTGTGCTGCCTCCTCTTCTCGGCAGCTTCTCAGACCAAGTTCTCAATATCTAGATTGTCTCTTTCCTCCTACCCCTGCCCCAGGTTCACAACCGGAACCTCCTGTCCCTGGACTTTGACCGCGTGACACGCACAGAGAAGATCTATGACGACCACCGCAAGTTCACCCTCCGGATCCTGTACGACCAGGCAGGACGGCCCAGCCTCTGGTCACCCAGCAGCAGGCTGAACGGCGTCAATGTCACGTACTCCCCGGGGGGCCATATTGCCGGCGTCCAGAGAGGCATCATGTCTGAGAGGATGGAATACGACCAGGCGGGTCGCATCACATCTCGGATCTTCGCTGATGGGAAGACCTGGAGCTACACGTACTTAGAGAAGGCAGGTGTCTGTCTCCCTCCATCACTGGCCTCACCATATAGAATACTGACCACAGTGGCTCACTTGTGGCTAGGCCAACCTGCTGACCTCATTGGGATAGATATGACCCATGTGGTCTCCAAAAGGAAATGTTCAGGAAAATCTGCATCAGAGGGCCAGGGGGCCCCGGGGGTTGTCTGGATGGATTATGGTGATGGTGTGGCAAGTGAGGGGTCCTGGGGCAGGAGAATGTGAAGGTCCCACCTGATGGGCTAGAGCTAGAATCAGGCCCAAACACTTCTGGACATATGGAGCAGGATTTGGGGTCTGGACCCAGGCAGGGGTCTGCTCCCAGGTCAAGGGTACACAGAGAACAAGGCAGAAGCCTGGGATCAGGATTAAGCAAGAAGTGCTTAATCCTGAGCTTTAAGTCCTAGGTGTGGCTTTAGTAAGTCCCTTCTGCTTCAGCTCAGGATTCATTTCATCCCCGAGACTAAGAATCAGAAAAGGTCTGAAATCAAAAGTTGGTCCCAAATAAGAGAAAATGGTGACTTTGATGCCCAGATGCCTCTGGCCTGTTATCTGCTGGTTTATTCCTGCAACAGTCTGTATTTCATGCCCCGATTCTGGTACCCAGATTCTTTCTTTGCGTTCTGCTCCTGGTCAACTGTCCAGGGCCCAGGCTCTGCCTGATCTGCGATATCTTCCCTACTCTGTGCAATGTTCTCATCTCTGAGAGCAGTGTTCTGTGGTAGAACCAAGAGAGACCTTGGAGGTCATTCAAACACTGAAAAACCAAACCCAGAGAGGGAAAGGACTTTCTCAGGGCCACACAGTGGGTCTATTATTAGAAACCAGGTTTCTCCATTCCCATCACAGCCCACCCTGCCCCAGGGTGGGCATATGACCTGTTATTACATAAACAATTGTGCAAAACCTGAAACGCCTTTCTCAGATACGTCTTTATCCTGTAGGCCATAGGGAGTCAACAGAAGTTGTCTGGCAATAGACATTGTCAAGCTGTGTTTTAGGATAACCATTCTTGCTTGAGTAGGAAGATTGATCTGAGAAGGAATCTGTAGCAAGGAATCCAGGAGAGAGGCTGCTGCAGATCTTTTAGGCCAGTGTTCCCAACCTTTCTTGTACCCCATCACACACCGAAGTTACCATTTTTGAACCAAACGCAAAGGTGCAGACAAGGCTTCTCACCATAGGAAAGCAAATGGCCTGAGAGCTCTGGGGCCCCAGGCCCTGCCAGGGCCAGGGGCAGAGAGAAGTCCTTCTCTTAGCACACCCGTACCCCACTGCAGCATCCTAGGACACACTGGTTGGAAAGCTCTGGTCTGGGCATAACTTAGGAGAACCACCAGCTTCCTTGGCCTCTCACTCCTTTCCTTTAAGTCTTGGGCTCACAGACCTACCCTTCCTTCCCAGCACCCTCCTCTCATCTGTTTTCTTTCCCTGCAGTCCATGGTGCTGCTCCTCCACAGCCAGAGGCAGTATATCTTCGAGTTCGACAAGAATGACCGCCTCTCTTCTGTGACAATGCCCAATGTGGCCCGGCAGACGCTGGAGACCATCCGCTCAGTGGGTTACTACAGGAACATCTACCAGCCCCCCGAGGGCAACGCCTCAGTCATCCAGGACTTCACTGAGGACGGGCACCTCCTCCACACCTTCTACCTGGGCACTGGCCGCAGGGTGATGTACAAGTATGGCAGGCTGTCCAAGCTAGCTGAGATGCTGTACGACACCACCAAGGTGAGCTTCACCTACGACGAGGCCGCCGGCATGCTGAAGACCATCAACCTGCAGAACGAGGGCTTCACCTGCACCATCCGCTACCGTCAGATCGGGCCTCTGATCGACCGCCAGATCTTCCGCTTCACTGAGGAAGGTATGGTCAATGCCCGTTTTGACTACAACTATGACAACAGCTTCCGCGTGACCAGCATGCAGGCCGTGATCAACGAGACACCGCTGCCCATCGATCTCTATCGCTATGATGACGTGTCGGGCAAGACTGAGCAGTTTGGGAAGTTTGGAGTCATCTACTATGACATTAACCAGATCATCACCACAGCGGTCATGACCCACACCAAGCACTTCGATGCGTACGGCCGGATGAAGGAAGTCCAGTACGAGATCTTCCGCTCGCTCATGTACTGGATGACCGTCCAGTATGATAACATGGGGCGAGTCGTGAAGAAAGAGCTGAAGGTGGGACCTTACGCCAACACCACTCGCTATTCCTATGAGTACGATGTCGACGGCCAGCTGCAGACGGTCTCCATCAATGATAAGCCACTGTGGCGCTACAGCTATGACCTCAATGGGAACCTGCACTTACTGAGCCCCGGGAACAGTGCACGGCTGACCCCGCTACGGTACGACCTCCGGGACCGCATCACCAGGCTGGGTGACGTGCAGTACAAGATGGACGAGGATGGTTTCCTGAGGCAGCGGGGCAGTGATGTCTTTGAGTACAACTCAGCAGGGCTGCTCATCAAGGCCTACAACCGGGGTGGTGGCTGGAGCGTCAGGTACCGCTACGATGGCCTGGGGCGGCGGGTGTCCAGCAAGAGCAGCCACAGCCACCACCTGCAGTTCTTTTATGCAGACCTGACCAGCCCCACCAAGGTCACCCACCTCTACAACCACTCCAGCTCTGAGATCACATCCCTCTACTACGACCTGCAAGGACACCTCTTCGCCATGGAGCTGAGCAGCGGAGATGAGTTTTACATAGCTTGTGACAACATCGGGACCCCTCTTGCTGTCTTCAGTGGAACGGGCTTGATGATCAAGCAGATCCTGTACACAGCCTACGGGGAGATCTACATGGACACCAACCCCAACTTCCAGATCATCATCGGCTACCACGGGGGCCTCTATGATCCACTCACCAAGCTCGTCCACATGGGCCGGCGGGATTACGACGTGCTGGCTGGTCGCTGGACTAGCCCCGACCACGAGTTGTGGAAGCACCTTAGTAGCAGCAATATCATGCCTTTTAATCTCTATATGTTTAAAAACAACAACCCTATCAGCAACTCTCAGGACATCAAGTGCTTCATGACAGGTGAGGATCAGGGCTTGTTAGAGGGCTGGAACCACGATTACTCTGGTCATCTGACAAGACAGTCCACCTCGAGAAAGCCAGTGTCAGGTAATGGGAAACACTGACTTTCCCTTAGAGCAGTATTTTCCAAAGTATTTTTGAAGAAATACTAGTTCAGAGAAATGCTCTGGAAAAACTGGTTTTGGCATCAAATCAATTTGACAGGACAACCACCATTCTTGCATTTTCATAGTACATTTCAGCTTATGAAAGGCCCTGAGAAGTCCTGTAGTAAGGAGACCTGTTTCATATAATTACCCACTATTTCTCAAGTTTATCTGACCATGAAACCCCCTTTTTCACCGTGAAACCCTAATATCCCACCGGAATGCACTTTGAGAGTTTCTGACCTAGAGATCAGGCTGGTGATGAGTCCCTGATAAGCTTGGTGAAGCTATGGCAAAAAAAGGAAAAAGAAAGAAACAAAAAAGAATTCAGTTTTCTTATTTGGGATGATGTAATGGAAAATTCAGACTTTTAGAGACAGAAATGGGTGAAGGACCCATCATTTCTAAGTTATGACAGTCACAAAATTAATTTAATTTCCCCTGAATTCCAGTTTCTGATCTATAAATTAAAGATAGAATACCTCCCCTGCCTCTGATAAGTTAAATATGCATATTATAAATCCTAGAGCAACTACCAAGAGAGAAAACAGAGGCAGAGCTAATCAGTCAATAGTGGAGATAAAATGAAGACTAAATTAGTAATCCAAAAAGGACGAGAAAAGAGAGGGGAAAGGAGCAAAGAACAGATGGACAAATAGAAAAAAACAAAAAACCCACCTAGTAGGATGGTTGCCAGGGTGAAATGAGGTACAGTTTATAACCTGCCTAGCACAGCACGTGCCGCATGTTGGTTCCCTTTCCTCTACCCTCTGATTTTAAAAGTGGGCTTTGGTCTTCACTACTGTGAGGCCAACTTGAGTATAAAGTGTCCCATAGTTCATACATGCCAGCAATGTCTTCAACAGCCTCGTTCCAGCAAGCAGCCACTGCCAGGCTAGCCACAGAAGACCTCAGGAGTGAGAGCAGCTGTGGCGATTCAAATCTGAATAAAACCATCACTTTTTATAGAAGAGAGCTTTTGGTGGGCAAAAGTCGGGCATGGCAACTTGCGAACCTGGTTGTCTCCCCCTCTTCTGTCCTGTGACGCAGTCTTCCTGCCCCCATGTTAAGGCAGTTTCATTCATTGGACAAAGGCCTCCTCTGTGCAGCCACTGTTTTAGGCACTGGGGATAGAAAGATGATCCCTGCCCTTCAGGAATTCACCCTGCAAGAGGCGAGATGGACAACTGCTGTCCAGTGTGAGGGGCCCACGATGAAGGTCTGCACTGATGGCCAGTGAAACACAGGAGGCACAGCTGGCTCTGTCCTAGAAGCAGCTGATGTGTGAGGCCCGCCTAGAGGGGACATTCACCAGGTAACAGGGAGAAAGGCAGTCCAGGGGGAGGGCACTGCACGCGCAACAGTGCAGAGAGGGCAGCATGTACAGCTGCATGCGTGCCCCTTAGGGGCATGGTGGCTTCCTGGTGGCTCCGTCTGGACCTGTTTCTGCAGACGGCAGTTAGAGGATTCTTCTTTCAGGGAAGAATTCCAGGGGGTCATGGTGAGAGCAGGAGTCCCAAGAGTGGGGAAGAAGAGAGGACATAGTGGTGAGCAGGTGTGATGAAAGCATGCTTGGGGCCTGTGGATGCACAGGAATATCCCAACCAGGTTTCAGTGTTCACAGTGCTCAGCTAGCTGCCAGCCCCAGAAAAACTTAACAGATTGAGAGGACATTTCCTGCAGATAGCACGCCCCCTGCCTCAGCCGCCAACGAGTTTCCTATAGGTTACTGTAGCTGAAGAAAGAATGGTGCAAAGAACAATTTTAGTACGAAAAACCAAGATACTACTAATTCTTATGAAGCCCGGCCATTCAGCTTCCGCGTGGGCTGTGTGCAACCTCATCCACAGCCAGAAAAAACAGCAATAAAAAGGGCATCTTTGTTCCAAGAATTTCTTCAAGGGTCCTGGCTTATACTCCACTATAGGGTCTTAAGCCTATACTGCAGAGGCTCAGGTCACATGACAAGCCCTGACCCAGTCACCATGGCTGGGGAGACAGAGTGCACTGGTTGGCTTAGCCTAGGTCACATGCTCCAGTGCTGAGCCTTTAGGTGGAGTCAGCTTCCCTAAAAGTACACGGATCCCCCAGAAAGAGAGTGAGAAGGCCGAATGGGACACTAGGAAGGCAGCCTGCAAATGTCCACCACTGACACATGGTGTACACTATTGCACTTTTTTTTTTAATTGAAGTATAGTTGATTTACAATGTTGTGTTTCTGGTGTACAGCATAGTGATTCAGATATATATATATTCCTTTTCATATTCTTTTTCATTATAGGTTATTACAAGATATTGAATATAGTTCCCTGTGCTGTACAGTACAATATTGCACTTAACCCTAACTTGAAGCCTCTGAGATGGGGACCATTGACCCCGTTTACAGAGAGGGGAAGGGAGGGTCAGAGAGGGAAAGGAACCAGCCCAACAGGAGGCGGCAAGGCTGGGGTTAGAACTCTGCTATGTCTGACTCCAAACTCCTCGTTCTTAGGTTCGAATTCTCCCCGTAAAGTGCAGAGCTCATGCGTGGAAGGGGTCATTATTCATCACTGTCCTAGGCAGCCACACTAATGTCTGGGACGGATGCGTAAAGAGCTTTTTAACTTGAGGGGAATGTCCACCTCTGATGTCATAGGAAAGAAGAGTAAAACTCCCAACTCCTCAGAAAAGCACAGTAGAAAAACCGATGAAAAATCAGTTTTCAGCATTTTTCCTAAAGGCCTAGTGAGAAAATTTCCCACCTTCCATCACTTATAATTAAGACCCAGGCCTCTTTTCAGCCCCCTGGTGTCCTGGGAATTTGCAGTATTCCTTATAGAACCATTCCTTTGCAACTACAAATTCAGATGCAAGTTCTCAGCCTCAGGCAAAATGGCTTTTCAGGGTTCCCACCCCCCCAACCCATTCTGTTTGTTTTAATTTCCCAAAGAACCATCTGCCAAGATTCATACAATCAGAGATTCTTAGAAACTCAGTAAGGAAGGGGACTTTGGAGGAAATCTGGTCTAGGCGCCTCATGCTACAAATGAGAAAATGGAGGACCAGGGACATGGAGGCATGGTTTGAGGAAACACAGAAAACTTTATATGAGCCAGGAACCAAGATGGACACTTTAAAATATATGAAATCGAATCATTTATGTAACAAACAGAATGGTTCCTAGGCGACGGCTGCCCCCAAATGGTAACACTGGTAGTATTCTTCTCCATGACTTGGTGAAAACCATTTCTCCCATCAGTTTGCAGATAAGGAAACAACCTCAGAGAGGTTAAGGAGACTGTCCAAACTCACACAGTTTGCAAGATGAGGAGCCAGAGTTTGGACCTAGGTTTTGACTTCCCTCACCATGTTCTTTCCCTTATATGATCTTTCTAGAAGTAGAACCTGGGTTTCCAAGCTTCCCTTTCTACCACCCCTCCACCTCAGCACCGCCAGGCTTCAAACCCGAGAGAGGGGCTCTGAAACATCCCAAAACAAACAAACAAAAAAGAATCGGGAAAGAAAAAGGCAAATCAGAGGTTCTTGAATGGAAACGCAACATGGGATGCAGTGGAGACAGGGACACAGTTGTTGACCCCAAAGGGCATTCCCATCACTGGGATGAACTCAGTGGGTCATAGGGGAAGACTGTTCCACTGATGTCTGGACTCTAAGAAGCTCCCTGACCGGGGATCTGTCTGCTTTGGAAGAAGCCAGTAGTGGGCCTGGACGCCCACAGCCTGGAGTTGCTGGCTCTGAGGCTCAGCTCCAAATCCTGCCTTCTCCAGACTTTGGATTTGAGTCTCTGGTCAACAGCTGCTTTGGCATCTTCAGCTGCCTCTTCCCAAGGAAGGCTGAGCCATGCTGGGACACAGACTTTCTGTCTTTCTCCTGTAGACCCCCAATCACCTCCCACCCACCAGCCCAGGCTCCTCCTGCTCCAGCCACGGTTTTCCTTTGTGGTTCTCTCTCTGCCTTGCTGAACCTGAACACTCCTAAGATTCACCTCCCCTCTCCAGACCTTGTCTTACCCAGTGGCCTTTGCCTGGGGTGCCCCTTCATCTCTGTTGAAGCCTGACAAAATTTACAGAGCTTTCAGTGTCTGGCTTAAAGGCCATCATCCTCATGAAGACTTGTCAGCCAGTGCAACCCAAAGACTTCTGCCCTCCTCTTGACCTTTCTCTTGTGTCACAGTTATCTATGCCTACGTCTCGTATCCCCTTCAGGGTCCTGAGGGTGCAAGCTGAGGGTCTGTGACAGCTGTTCTAGGCACATAAAAGGCACCCAGCCAGAGCAGGACAGGTAACTGATGGCACAGCCTCCACCCTCTTTCTTTTCCTTATGTCTTGGCTTTCTGATTCCAGTCTTCAATGAGCCAGATCCTCATGACAATAATATCCCACCTGTCTCTATACCTGATGTTTTATCATTAGGAACCCCCCAGGAATGTTATAAAACCAATAAATCCCATGCCTATGAGGCTAGATCCTCAAACCCAATATAAAGACTGGGAAAGGAAGGCACAGGGAGGTTAAGTGCCTTCCTTGGAATGTCAGAGTAGATAAAAGGCAGGATGTGGGAGAGGGGATGCACGCTGGCCCTGAGGCTCTAATCTCTGCCCCCCCCCAAAAAAAGGACGAAAGGAGGGAGAGTTTGTCTCTTAAGTGAATTTTCTCTTTGAAAGTCATTCATTAACATCCTTCCTTTGGGTGTGATGCCCTCTGTAAATGTCTCCTATTGATGTTGGGGGTACATGTGGAGGAGTCTTCATCCATCAGCAGCTGCCCCTGGCTATGAAGCTGAAGGTCCCAGGGGGAGAATGGCAGTAGAAAGGGGAGTCTGGAAACCTTGGTTCTACTTACTTGACGTCTCTTGCAGATACGTCCCTAGGAGGGGACGCTCAGTCCTAAGAGCCTGTCCGGCTTCCATATCGTGAAACAGCTTCCAGCATGCTTGTACCAGTTGACTCTGCCACCAGCAGCCCTCCCTGTCCTCACCCTCACCCCAGCCTAACAGTAGGCTGCTTTCTTGGGATGTGTCACATCCAAAGTCCACTGACTCCAGGGGAATGTTTTTCGCTTTTTTCCCACCCAGATGTCAACAGCTGGCTCCTCACCTTCGGATTCCAGCTTCACAATGTGATTCCTGGCTATCCCAAGCCAGACATGGATGCCATGGAACCATCCTACGAGCTGGTCCACACACAGATGAAAACTCAGGAATGGGACAACAGCAAGGTAATTCACACCTGGCCACCTGGCAGCCCACCCCTCGGGCCATCCAGACATTACAGAGGTGGGCCCCACCAGCCTTTCAGGAAAGCTTGGGCAGATGATAGAAATGGATGTGGTATGTTCACAGTGCCTGCCAGAAACTGTTCTGTGAATACTTAATAACCCCACCACTGGCAAGTCACTGTGGACCCAGCTGTTAATAGACACAGACCCTCACAAGCCAAATTAAGGAGTTTTGTGTCTTACACTGAGTTTGGAATTCCCCGGAAACAAGGAGCCTTTGTCACAACCCAGAACAAAAGTACAAGCAGGGAAGGTGTATTCTAAATACAAAGGTGACATTTTTCTGAGCGCCTTGATGCAACTACATAAATCAACACACAGATATCCCCTGCTATGGCTGTTCTCATTTTACAGATTGAATGCATGAGGCTTTCCAAGGCCACACAGCAAGGATCGAGCAGAGCAGGGTTCAAACCCAGAACCATCTGTAGGTGTTCAAAAAACTGTCATTTTCCCCGTCTTCCTTTTATGACCCAATTTCAAAGACTCATAGAATTATACAGCTATCGTGATTCTTAAAAACAGTTTCATCCCACCCCCTCACTTCAGGCATCCATCTGCTTACTTCTTCCCACTGCCCCCCTCATTCATAAGATCTGTACCAGGAGCTGGCTTTTCCAGGTGCTGTGCCTCAGGAGCCCAGTGAATGCAGGAATGAATCAGGCAGAGACCAGGCTTTCCAGGGAATCCCTGTCCAGGGGGACAAGAGACAGAGGAGGAAAGCAGGGTTGCCGAATGGCATTCTGCTGGTGGTCAGAAACGTATACATCATGTCTCTTACTCCAACCTGATTGCATTAGGCCTCAGCTTAGCCTTTCCTTCACCTAGACTCTGTGAATGTGATTCTGCGTGCCTGTGCTCTGGTGGCACCCTATATCAGCCTCTTTCAAAGCACTCACCACATTATTATTTCATTCCTGTATCTCCACTAGACCCTGGACCCAAGAGGGCAAGTACTGGGTCTTATTTTGTCCCAGCATAGTGCTTTGCACATAGCAGGTGCATGGAAGACTTTTGTTGAATGAACAGATGGTTGAAAAAAAATAAACCACCCTGTGAATTCAGCCTTCTTCCCCATTTTACAGGAGGAGGAGACCAGAGTTGAGAGGGAAAGTGGCCCAAGGTCAGCTAGAAAGTGGCAGAAGGCGATGAGAACCCAAGTCTGTCTGGTCACCAAGCCCATCTTCTCCCTGCTGCCCTAGCCCTGCCCCTCCGCCCTTCTCCAGTCCCCACCATCCTTCCCCATGCGGCCCAGCTGCCCCTGGCCCTGACTGTTTTCCCAGGGCTGATTACAGCCCTCAGCTCCACCCCCACCCCAGGCTCCCTTCTCCACCCCCTCCCTCCCTCCTCTGACAGCAGGCCCATTGCCAACCTCCTCTGTCAATGAATTATTGATTTCTGCCCTTGGCAAGCATTGGAGATCTTTGTTGTTGAGCACTCCAGCTTTCGTGAAGCTCTAGGAAATAATTGTTCACAGACAGGGTTCTATTAATTATAAAGAGGACTTAATTTCAGTGAGAAGCCGATAGGCCTGTTTCTAAAGCCATTTCCCTAAGTTGCTGATAAGGCCCTGGGGCCTGCCTGAGCTCCTTGAACCAGGTAGATGGTAGCTAAGCAGTCAGGACCCAACCTATCCCCCAAAGCAGCCAAGAGCGGGGGCACTCAAGGAGCCCCCAGGAAGCACTGTGGGGGCTTAGGGCCCCCTTGAAATTCATTTATAAACATGGTGGAGAGCAGTAAAGCAGGGAAAGAGGGCTTATATAAATCACGACTTTTCATCTTACTAAGCCTTCTTGCCAAGAATTCATTCCTCGCCATTCCTCCATCTAACGTCACCTCCTCCTCCTCCAAGTCCCAACTCAAGCATGAGCCTGTCCTTGAACCCCACCTTCTCCACTTCGCTCCTCCGCCTCCAGGCTGAGAGGTTCTGAGCCGCATTTGCTCCTCCCTACTCCAACAGCCCTTGAATTGAGCCTCTAGAATCAGGCAGACCTGGGTTCAGTGTTGGCTTGCACACTTACTAGTTGTATGACTGTGGGCCAGTCACAACCTTGTTGAGCCTTAGTTTCCGTAGATGTAAAACCAGAATAATAAGTGTACCTACTGTATAAAGTTATTGTGAAGATCAAATGAAATAATGAATGTGAATTATTCAGCTCAAAAACCAAGAAATGTTGGCTATAGCTATTAGTGTCACTTCTCTTAGACCACCAGTCATCACATTGGATTGGAGTTACTTGTTGTCACATCTGTCTTTCCCCACTAAATGATGAGTTCTTCAAGGGCAGGGATGATGTCTGAATCCTTGTTGTATCTCCAGCACCCAGAAAAGGACCTGGCCCAGAGGAGATGCTCCCTGAACAGCTTCTGATTGGAAGGAAGGGGGAACTGATGGATGAAGGAGGGCTGGATGTCCTCGTGGTCAGCAGTAGAGCTAGATGCTACAGGCTAATACATCTGTATAGGCTTGACTTAGTTATGTAAGCTGATTCTCCAGGCTCTTGGAGGCTTCCCCCCTTATCGCACTCTCTCTCTTCTGTCCACCAGTCTATCCTCGGGGTACAGTGTGAAGTGCAGAAGCAGCTCAAGGCTTTCGTTACCCTGGAACGTTTTGACCAGCTCTACGGCTCCACAATCACCAGCTGCCAGCAGGCCCCAGAGACAAAGAAGTTTGCATCCAGTGGCTCAGTCTTTGGCAAGGGGGTCAAGTTCGCCTTGAAGGATGGCCGAGTGGCCACAGACATCATCAGTGTGGCCAACGAGGACGGGCGGAGGGTTGCTGCCATCCTGAACAACGCCCACTACCTGGAGAACCTGCACTTCACCATCGACGGGGTGGACACTCACTACTTTGTGAAACCAGGACCTTCCGAAGGTGACCTGGCCATCCTGGGCCTCAGCGGGGGGCGGCGAACCCTGGAGAATGGGGTCAACGTCACCGTGTCCCAGATCAACACAATGCTCAATGGCAGGACTAGACGCTACACAGACATCCAGCTCCAGTATGGGGCGCTGTGCTTGAACACCCGCTACGGGACAACGCTGGACGAGGAGAAGGCTCGGGTGCTGGAGCTGGCCCGGCAGAGAGCCGTGCGCCAGGCCTGGGCCCGAGAGCAGCAGCGACTTCGGGATGGGGAGGAAGGCCTGCGGGCCTGGACAGAGGGCGAGAAGCAGCAGGCGCTGAACACCGGGCGGGTTCAAGGCTACGACGGCTTCTTCGTGATCTCCGTCGAGCAGTACCCGGAACTGTCAGACAGCGCCAACAACATCCACTTCATGAGACAGAGCGAGATGGGCCGAAGGTGACAGAGAGGTCCTCGGCCTGGACTTCTTGCCAAAGACAGCTACTCTTTTGTGGCCACATACCTGACTGTGTTGTACTTAAAAAACAAAAAACAAAAAACAAAAAACCCTTTTTTTAAACAAATGCAGAAAACAGCAAACAAAAGATACTGGTTGCATTGTAATTCATGCAACATCCTTTTTTTTAAGAAAAGAAAAACACAGATTTGGCCTTCACACATTTTTTGCAAAGAACAGAAGGTATTTTTTTTTTCTGTAGTGTGATCACAATGAAAACCTTATTGTCTTTTGTTCCCTTTTCCTTGAGGAGTTTTCCTTGTTGTTTTGGGTACACTTCTCCTCGCTGAGATGCATCTCCTGGGGTGTGTCCTTGTCTGTCCCTGGGTACCCAGTGTGATGTGAGACATGAGTGTCTGTGCTAACTTGTCCCATGTGCAACTCTTTCTTCCATGGGGGTTGGGCAGGAGTGAGGGGTGCAGAGAGTCACGGGCCAGTAGCAAATTTCTGAGGGGGCCTGGAAGGAGGGTCTGCAGGACCTGAGGATCTTAGGCTAAGCTCTCACAGACAAGTAGGGGCTGTTTTACTCACTGTGTTCCATGCCTCCAGAGGACCATGGATGGTTTCATCTTGCCCTGGGGAGTTTCATGATCTCACAGCACCTTTTTCAAGCTGCCCCAAACTCCTGTCCAAGCTTTATATTTTGATGCTAAATGAAACCCCTACCCCTTTTGCAAATTCTGTGTAGTTGTCAGTGCCACCCCCATGCCGGGATGGAGAAAGTGTCTCCCAGGTCCTTCCCCAGTCTGGTGACATCATCCTGGGGCTAAGAGCCCCAGCCTCTCCAAGAGGCAGAGGCACCCAGGATGTCTGTGGTTGGTTGGTCCTCCCATGATGTTCCTTATTCATCTCCTCCTCTCTCCCAAAGTCAGATGTGAGAACCAGCACTGCACAGCAAGCCCTCAGCTTGGGCACCACGTCCAGAGGGGAAGGCCACCCACGGTGAAAGGATGGCATTGGTGGCAAGGGTACCAGCCTGCCTTCCTAGGTGAAGCCCTCTCCCCATGACTTTGGGTACCTTCCCTCCACCACTCAGCTGCCACCACTGAGAAATAGGAGTGTGGAGAGAGGTGCCTGGTGGCCTTTGATTCTGGAAAGAGACTTAAGAAAAAGTCAGCCAAAGAGAGGAAGGCACGAGTCAAGCGTCCTTCTAACCAGTTCCTGAAGGCCCCTCTGCCTCCCATGTATTCGGCTAATTGCAGGGCTGGGATGCAACTTGAGCAACCTTCAGGCATTTCCTTCTGTAAAGTTCTTCTAAAACAGCTTCCCCTCTAGAGGAGCCGAGCCAGGGTTGCAAAACAAGATTAATGAGAAAGGAGGAAAGAGCTCACTTGGTGTGGCCTGGCAGTGTCATGCTCCCCGACCAGGATGGGGGTGGTTCCTGAGACTGGTGCCCATGGAGCCAGGAGGCCAGGCTACCATGGTCCCTGTGAGGACCTATGCCTGAGGTCAGTGGGAAAGGGCTTAAGCCCACTCGGGAGCCAGTGCAACCCACGCCTGGAGGGCACGCCCAGGGAGAGGCAGCAGCCAACAGGCAGGGGGTGGGAAGCACTGAGGGGAGGGGAGAGCAGCCTGGTGAGCTAGGAGCTCCTGTCTCTTGTTTTACCTGCCTGATTACCATCATCATTACCACTCACAGGAGGCTCTGGGAGACCAGGAGGGGAAGCCAAATGCTTCCTTTTAAGCTGGGCTTTTTAGAAAATGGGACTTTTATGAGTTACATTTTACATTAAGTGTGGAAAATGACTTCTGAGTCTGAGCTCTTCCCCATGGAAACCTTGTTGGATTGACAAGCTCATGGCACCTTTATAGCCTTACTCACAGAGTCTTCAGAATATTACAGGAGTTAATGAAACCAAGAAGGCCTCCTACTGCACGAGAATTGGAGCAGCACGGAGTCTGGGTTCTGCCAGCAGAGGGAGGCACCCAGACAGGAGATTTCGCCTTACGTCATCCCACTGGGGTTAGAGGATGTGTTTCGCTAAGTGCTCTTCCTGTTTCCAAAAGAAGTCACACTGCTGTGACAGTGGGCCTTGGCCAGAGTTCCGCCAAGTCAGATGCAGTGCCCCTCGGGCCCGCTGGGCAAGGCAGGAGCTTATGGGCTCCCACCTGGCAGGATCGTTCTTGGATGGGATAGAAAAGTTTGGCCTGAAGAAAACCAATATTTTTATGCAAGATAGACTTATGCCTCCCAAATGTACTCTTGATATAAGGGGCCCTTGGGGAATGGACCCTGCCCATTGGTCCAGATGATCAGTTCCATCCTGGCTGCCTGACATCAGTCAAGACCTGCTGTCCACTGGGAGGTCAGAAACAGCATGAGGCCTGAGGGAGTCCTCTCCCTGCACCTCTCCAACGCTCTGACTATCCACCCCGCCACCCGCCACCAAGGAAATAGCGTGGACTCTTGAAGAGCAAGATCACAGAGAATTATTGAGCATTCCTTTTCTTTAAACGAATGATGTTATATTCTTCCTGGGCTACATACCGCCCAGGAGACCTGGCTTCTGCATCAGGGGAAGCTGAAGCATCCCCATGCTTTAGAGAAGGGATCTCAGGTGTGGGGCCAGTAGCGTCATGCACCTCGCTGGGTTTCACACTGGTGCTGTTGCTACTGGAGATGGTGCTCCTGGCCTGGGCCCTTTTGAGTTGCTTTCCATTCCACGACAGGTGACTCAGTGCCTCCCCCTTCAGTGCGTCCTCCTGCTGAGACCAGCAGTCCCAATCTCACAGCAAGAGTGAATCTGAAGGCATAAGCCAGATTTCCCTGTGCCTGCTTAGTGGCCTCCAGGCTTCCAATCCCATCCTTTTGGCACTAACCAACCAAAACGTGTCCATTCCTCAGCGTTACTAGTCCTCCCTCACTGGCCCAGGGTCATTATTCTGTACGGTGGCAGCTTCTGACCCTAGAAAAAGGTTTATCTTGGAAGAGTGCCTGCCTTCTCCGCCACCCTCCACAGCTGCCATTGGCCCCTTACCCTCAGCACCTTGTCATCACCTTAAATAGGACCTTAGTGATTCCCCAACTTCGTTTTTTATAGGATGAGATCTCCTTGTTGCCCACCCTCCAGGCAGACAGCATTGGAGAGCAGAGCTATGACAATAGGAAGAAGGGGAAGAAACTCTGCGGTGAATCACAAATTCGTCAGCCCCTGATGCTTGTCTCTCAGAACTGTTGGCTGAACATTAACCCAAGGAACAGACCAGTGCCTGATTCCTACCTAGGGATGGAGAATTTGAAACAATTTCTAAGAAACTTATGACCAGAGGTTGGGAATGGCCAGAGGGCGTGATTTTAAATAATCGGAATGGGGTGGGGCTGGGAACAGAAGGTGTTGGTAGACAAGGAAGGTGAGTAAAACTGAGCAGTGCTTTTATAGACACGTAACAAGGAATAAGATTTGCTTTAAAAAAAAGAAGAAGAAGAAGAAAGGACCTCTTCAGCTGTAACTTTTAAGTACCACCTTTATAGATGGCAGGGGTTTCCAGGATGCAAAGATGAGGCTTTCCATGTGAAACCCTAGAATACAGGTTCACATCTGCAACCTTGTGCTTACGGTCTCCACGTGGTGACGGCCGTGACACTGAGCTTGATGCCCAGGACAGAGGGGTCTGCCAGGCCTCAGAAGGATCTAGGGCTTTGAGGTTTGTTCCCCCAGTGCTCAGAGTCCAATCTATCCGCCATTCCTCACAGCAGCCACTAAGCCCAGGCCGTGGCTTCTGGACCTGAGCTGGCGCCCACTCCCTGAGGGGTCCCAGAAAGAACCAAGTCCCTTCTTTCCCTTGGGATCCTCGCTAGGACCAAACTCCCTCCATTTAAGGGTCATACTCTCCAGGTAGATTGAGACACTTACCTGTATTTTATTGGCGGGGAGGAGAGGATTAAGAAAAAGAACTCTGTAGTTCAAAGCCCTTTTCTTTAACCTTCAAAAAACAGCAAACTTATTTTAAAGACTCATTGCTCAGGTGACCGAAAGGTTATCCTCCCCAAGTTTTACATTCTCAAAAACCAGCCTTGTGTATGTGACCGCCCGAGACAATGGTGAGCTCTTAGGTTTCAGCATGAAGGTGGAAGATCAGAGTTGGGGGAGGCCTGGATGGGGCCGATGTTGTGTTCCTTCCCCCCTCTGGAATGCCAAAGGCGTGATGCCGGGCGACCTCTTGGTCCCCAAGAACACGTGTTTGATTCTGAGGGCACACTGCCAATGGAGAACCAACTCGGGCAGGCACAGCTATCGTGGCAGAAGCTGAGTCACAGATGTCTGCTGGTGCCCGGCAGCCCTGGAGTCTCCCAACACCAGAATCCCACTTTTCTAAACCTACCTGTTGTTCTTGAAGACTTCCGAACCCACAGCTTCGGCAAAAGGACTCTGTCTAGCTGCCTCTGGACGACCAACACTGGAGACTCTGGCCTTACCTTGTGGAAGTAGTTTTCCTGAAGTCTGGAACTAATTTTGAGAAGTTTTTTTCTCAACACTTTTGCGTTTCTAACACTGTATTCCTGACTGTGTAAATACCGACAAGGCTGTAAATAAATGCAGGTGTAGATACCTTCTAGGAAGAAGAAAGGCATAAAAACAAAAGCAGAAGTGATCCCGCCCGTGTAGCCTTCGTTGACAAATAAAAAAATATTTTGTGCTTAAAGGCGTTTGGTGGCCTTTGTCTGGAGAGTAGTGGCTGCCTGAGCCAGCCCTCTGAGTCTGGTCTTCTAGAAGCTGCTGTTCTCAGGACGGCCTCCACGGCTCTGGTCCCCCACCCCAAAGTCCCTCTTAAGCCCTCCAGGTGACAGCTGCCATGATGAGGTATTTCCAGAGGACACAAAGACCCCAGGGCTTCCCTCATGAATGTCAAAGCACCTCTGACATCAGCTATGCCCCGCTGCTCCCCCGGGCCATATCCCAGCTGCTGCGCTTACTGGCCTCAGGGACAGACTCCAAGGGACTGGACAGCTTGACGGTGCCCTATGGGAAAAGGCTCTGCCCTGTCACCAGGCACAGAATTGTCTACGGTGTCACTGTGTTCCAGATGGGGTGTCACGGGTTGCACTTCCAAAAATAAATGCATATTCATCACACAAGGTACAATAACCATATAATACAACTTGGGGGAAAAGAAAATTCCTTTAGCATTTTTTGGGGGTTTTGTTTTTTCTTGCTTTGTGTGTTTTTAATGTATCTGTTTTGGTTTTTTTCAAAAAAAAAACTAAGGTAGTTGTAATCACAGCACACAGGTAATTTTTCACCTTGCTTTTCTCACGTAACCTCACATTTAACCTCTCAGCTCTAGAAGTCAGGGATGACAGCTGGTCACTTAGGAAAGTACATTTGCTAAGCCCAGCTCCCTGGTGTGAATAGCAAACCTTATGAAAATTTAGATAATTGAGGACAAGAGTGAGAGCAGAAGGCTCGCTGCTTCCCATTAGCCTCAGGACTGGCCCTCCACCAGGCCCTCTGGGAAGGGGATTAAAGCTTCGGGCCGCTTCCTTCCACCCAGGCTGCCATGAGCTGTCCCGGCACCACTGCCCAGATTCATCGTTCTGGGGTGCCAGGACACCTGCTGTGGTAGGAAAATCTACTTTTGGAGTCACGCCAAACTGGGTGCAGACCTCTAGCACTTACTGTGTGATCTTAGGCAAGGCATTTAACCTCGAAGCCTTGATCTATCTATAACAAGGGTATGAATGCACAGAGTGTTCCTGGTTACTGCTTCGATCACCTTAAAGGAGCGGGTATATAATGTCACAGGCAGCTCTCTGAATACCAGGGCTTGGCCCAGTGTAAGTTTTCCCACTCGGGCCGCCCTCCCCAGTGCATCCACCCACCTTCCTTCCAGAACCTGGTACTCTTCCCTTCTTTCTGAAAGGGGCATTGCACCTCCTCCCCGCACTCCCAAGCCTGCCCTCCGCCCTCCGCCCTCCCGGCAAATTGGCTGCAGGTGCGCGGGCCTGGCGCGAGGGTGAGGGGCGGGGACACGGCGGGTCTCCTCCCCGACGTCTGCGCGGCGGCGCAGTTACCCCGCCCCCTTGCACGCGAGATTGTCGAGTTTTCCCTATTCGCTGGCGTTGGCGGGGGAGACGAAACTTCGACCTGTGAGGAAAAGACTTTACAGTGAGTACTGATAGGCCATTTCTCCCGCATCCAGCGGAGGAGTGGCTAAGCGTGACACCTCTTACAGGGCATTGCGCTTGGTCTCACCCACCCTGCCCTTGTTCCCAGCTCTCACGCGGGCGTTTCTGTGGGTGGGCATCTCCGCCTCCAGCCCCACACCGGAAATCTCTCTCCAGGCCTTAGGAAGCGCGCTCCTACAGAAGGTCCCACCCCTGACCCCATCAGGCCACCCAGCATTAATTTATCAAATCTGAATTCATCAGAGTCTGGAATGGCCCCAGGGTGGGCTCCAGCCACCATCTCCCGGCCAGTCCCCTTTCAGGGTTTCAAGGGCAGTAAGAGTTGCAAATACATTCTTTATCCTTAAGAGTCCAAAGCTTATTTGTAGAGACACACCTTGCAAGGACTAACATCAGTTCTTAGGGGCAGGAGAATCTTAAGCCCAGCGGGAAGAGTGGAAGCATTTTCCTCCTGCCGTGTGACCTGCAAGCCCCTTGCTGCCTTTGAGGCCACACCTGGCATGTATCTGGGCCTTGGCTTTTCCACCCCTCCCCCACCTTCAAAATGTGCTGGCTCCACACTCCCAGCGCCAGTCTCTTCCCCAGTCTGTAGGGTGGGAACAGAGGAAATACAGCTATTCTTTCAGGTACTGATACTTATTACACGGTGAGTCGGTGGGTGGATGGAAAGATAACGAATGATTAAATAAATGCCTTTGCAGGCTCTTGAGGAGGCCTAGAGAAAAAATGCAATCAATCAGCAAACATTTAATGGGCACTTAATGTATGTAAGCAGCCTAGAGGACCCCAAGATGTGAGACAGGACCCTTTGCTTATAAACATCACCACCCAATCAGGGAGTCTAGAAAGATTCAGAAAACAGCCTGTGATACCAAGGAGCACGTGCTCTGTGTCACCACCCAGGAGGCCTCAGCATCCACACTTGCTAGAACTCGGAAGCCTGCGGAAGGAGAGCAAAAAGTCTTCTGGGTTTTGTGCTGGGAGAGGGGCCAGAGGCCCAGTCTCTGGAATCAGGAGGCACCATGTGCTCGAGCTCAGTCTTGGGGATAGGGAGTTGCCAGTTTGTTACCAGAAGCATGGCCAGGCATCTAGGGGCTCCAGGCACTGCAACATGTGGGGATGTAAACTGGATGGTGTAGGGCTGTTGGGAGCAGAACCCCATCCGTGTGCAAGGGTCAGGTCCAGACCCTGAGGGGAGGTGCCTGGGTCTGGGCAGGTGGGCTGGGCAGACCCCCTGGCATCCACGCTTCACTGATATAGGTTTGGTTGTAGGAGGAGCCAGGCTCTGGCGGGGCTTCAGCTTGCTCTCTGCCCGTAGCCATGATTCTGTGACAGCAAGACCAGCCCCAGCTCCCTCCTCCTGCCTCTACTAAGGCCTCTGATGTGCCCCTTGCCTGATCAGCCTCTGATTTGTTCTCCAAACTCAGACTCCAGCCAGCTTGAAGGGGAGTGAGGGGTAAGCCAAGTGCTTAAAGTGTTTACAACAAAAATCACTTGCCTCAGTGCCAAAGGAGGGGAGCTCAGGGTGCCTGGGTGGGAAGAGGAAGGGGTCAGAGAATTTCCTGGAAGAGGTGGATTTGATGAAAAGGGATTAGATGAGAACTGAAGACGTTCCTGGTGGGAGGAAGGTGTGCTGTTCTCATGGTCCTGGGGGAGCCTGGGCCTCCGAGACCTATTCCTGCGAAGCTGGTCCTATTCCTGCGAGGCAGGCAGAAAGCCCCAAGTTCCCAGGGATCTGATCCAGCCTGTCTCACCTTTTTTCACACAGCAGAACACACGATGGTTGATGTTTACATTCAAGCCCAAATCCCAAGGGTTTATCTAGATTTGGTATAATAAAGGTATAGGTTATGTGCAAACCTCAGCAAGCAGGAGTGCCTCCTCTTTCTCCACACTCATAAAGCATGTCAGGATGGACGTGAGGGAGACTGAACGTAGTATTACAGCAATAATTTTGAATGCACCTGGATTTATAATAAAAGGAACTATTTTGCAAAGCTGCCCTTTAACTATTATTTATAATGACTGACTTCTGACTTGGATCACTGTGGGTAGTG